TTCCAGTTGAAAACTCGGTCCTTCTCGGTAAGTTGGTGGAGAGGTCTGGCACTTTTGCAAATCCTTTACAAACGTCGATAGTACGTTGCCAATCCCAGAAAACTGCGCAATTCATTTTTATCCTTTGGAGTTGGCCAGTCTTTCACAATTTCTATCTTGCTGGGATCGGTTCGAACTCCATCTGAAGATACCACATGTCCCAAATAGTTAACTTCTTTAGAAAATAACCTGCACTTTTTAACGTTCAGCTTTAAATTTGCCACCCGAAGTCTTGTGAAGATCTCCCGTAAGTTTTCGACGTGTTGATCAAATGTTCTTCCTAGAACAATTATGTCGTCTAAATAGACAAGACAGGTTTTCCAGTTAAGACCTTGCAATACACATTCCATCAGTCGCTCGAATGTAGCTGGAGCATTGCACAATCCAAATGGCATGACGGTGAATTGCCACAACCCTGATCCGATAGAAAACGCTGTCTTTTCGCGATCGTTCTTGTCGATTTCTACTTGCCAGTATCCGCTTTTCAAATCAAGCGTAGAGAACCAACTTGAGCCAGATAGGGTGTCCATGATGTCATCAATCCTCGGTAACGGATAGCTGTCCTTTTTAGTCACATCATTTAACTTCCTATAATCAACGCAAAAACGGGTAGTGCCGTCCTTCTTCTTTACCAAAACAACTGGCGAAATCCAGGGACTTGATGACGGTTCGATGACTCCTTGATTCTGCATTGTCGTTATCATTTCGTTTACTTCTGTTTGTTTTACTAGAGGAAGACGTCGTGGTACTTGTCGGATCGGTTTCGAATCCTGAGTATCAATTCGGTGAGTTACCAGAGCTGTTTTACCTTGGTCATTGTCACCGGTTGAAAACACGTCTGCAAAATCAGCAATCAACGCCTCGGCTTTTAGACGGTCTTCTTGATACAAATTAAACTCATCCAGTAGATTTTTGGTAAGTTCTTTGAGTCTATCTTTGTCAGTTGGTAGAACCTTTTCCTGTTGCTCCACATCTAATGATTTCACCAAATTTATTGATTGGCAATTACCTATTTCCTCGCCTTTTTTAATTTTAATAGTGTGTTTAGCGGTATTCATTATTCTGACAGGAATAAGACCATTTTTGTTCGCTTCTACAAGGCATTTTCCAATGACCGCGTTCTGTACATTTGTCGTTGAGGTTGGCTCCATCAAATAGAACTGGTGGCCCCCAGGATCGCAATTCAACTTGCCCCATACGATGTTTTCAGATGATTGAGGTAGTTCCATGTCACAATCGACTGTTACTCGAATGCATTTTTCGTCGCTATCCCCCATTATCACTTCTGTATTTCTCCATCTAAGAATGCGTTTTTCTAAGTCAATTTTGAACCCATATTTTGTCAGAAAGTCGACACCTATTATGCATTCGTCGATGATATCCGCGACTAAGAATGAACCTTCAAATAACAAGTCGCCTAGCTGAACAGTACGGAGAATCTTTCCGTAGACTGGTGCTGTTC